CGTATGTGGACGCGTCGGTGTCCAGGCAGAAAGGGCAGTCCCGGAGCGCGGCAGGCACAGTGACGGTTGGGATGCAGTGAGTAGATGTTTGATGTCCTCGAACTTCCGTTGGCATTCGTAAGACCAGACGAATTCTTCCGCAGTGATGAGTTCTTGGATCGGTCTGACGAGGGCGGCGAAGTCGGGTATGAACTTGCGCAGGTACCCCGACCAGGCCTAGGAGGCGTCGAACGCCATTGACGTCTTCCGGGGGAGAGAGGCCTTGGATAGTGGCGATGGACTTTTTGGAGGGGTAGATCTTGCCGTCGCGGATGGCGACGCCCAAGTATTCGAACTCGGACAGGCCGAAGTGACTTTTGCGGATGTTGAGAAATACTTCGTGATCGCGCAGTCTCTGGAGTACCCATTCGAAGTTGCTCATGAGTGACGGCCACGAGCTACCGTAGATTACGATATCGTCAATGTAGACGAGACACCGGCTCTCTAGACGATCTTCGAGGAGTTTGGTCGTCATCCGTTGGAACGTGGCTGGAGCGTTGATAAGTCCGAAGGGCATGACGCGAAACTGGTATAGTCCGGTAGGGGTGGCGAAGGCGGTCTTCGGTTTGTCTTCCTCCTTGATTTTGATTTGGTGGAAGCCGGCCTTGAGGTCGAGGGTGATCACGTGTTCCACTCCCCCTAGCTGGTCGTGAAGATCTTCGATGATGGACAGCGGGAAGGTATCCGGCGCAGTGACGTCGTTGAGGGCGCGATAGTCGACGCACATCCGCCACTCCCCGGTTTGTTTTGGAACCATGACTATTTGTGACCCCCATGGGCTGTCTGACTCTTCGATGGCCCCCGCGGCCAGCAGGTCTTGGACCTGTCGCTGGATTTCCTGCTTCTGTTCCGGTGAGTATCGCCGGGTGCCCTGCTTGATGGGCTTACTGTCCCCCGTGTCGAGCCGGTGTTCTAGTACCTTACAACGTCCGACCCTCGTAGCTGTCCATGTCGAGTCGTAGGCTGTGAGCAGCTTGAGTATGTCCTGCCTCTGACTGACGGACAGTGATGGGTTAATGCGCTCTTCGATCTGGCTGAGTGTGAAGGATTCTTCAGCTTCCTGAAGGGCACTCACCCTGGAACCGCATTCCACTAGGTCGGGATCTTGGACCAGTGGTAGGTCTCCGTGATGGGTGGCCAGCCTTTCGCTGGCTAGGTCGACTGCGGCGCCTAACTGTTGGAGTGCGGGCAGCCCCAACATCGGCTCCTTCATCATGGGTGTCGGTAGGGCGTAGAAGTCCAGTTCAACGACCTGACCATTCACCGACGTGGTGATGCGGACTTGCGAATCGCACTTGCTGTATCCGCCGACGCCTTTGACTTGAAGTGGATTCTCGAGGCCGGTTACGGAGGACTGCGTTTGAACGTCCAGGTTTTTGAGCAGTGGTTCCGGGAGGATATTGATTTCTGCTCCGGTGTCTACCATGAACGGCAGTAGACGTCCTGCCACCGGAAGTTGCACATGTCGACAGTTGCGGCGGTTCACCTCTTGAGCCCCCACGAGTAGACTCTCTGCGGTTTCTACCCGTCCGGCACCGAGCGGTTCGTCGCTGAACACGTAGCGGTTCGTCGCTGAACATGGCTTCGTCGTCTCGGTCGTCCCGGTGGCTCTGGTGCGCCACACCATCCCGTTTCCGTTCTCGACGCTGGTTGGCATTGTGGTAGTAGCGGGATTCCTTCTCGAATTTCTAGTTGTACATGTTCGCGAGAGCCCATAGCAGTTCTCTGTTGTTCTTGATGTCGTCGATGCTCAGTTTGAATGATCCTCCTGGTTCACGATGAAGGAATGCTTGGCGAGTGCCTAGTGGATCCTTCCTCGTGATTTGCCAGCAATCGTCTTGGAAGTGTCCCCGTTTGTTGCAGTTGGGGCACACGGGCTTCGTAGGACATTTGAAGCTGATGCGCTCTTTGGAATCGCACCACTTGCAGAGACGGTCTGAGTGGTGAGCAGCGTCGTGCTTCTGCGGCGGCGTCGGGCTTATGGCGTGAACGGCAGGCTGTGCATCTCGGACGAGCTGACGGGCACGGTGAATGGCCTTGATTCTCTCGACTAGGTCTCGAAGTGAAAGGTGCTTGAAGCTGACGTCCGACCGGATTTGCAGTTCGATGTCCTTGTCGACCTTGCGTAGAAGACAGTAACCGTAGTCGACGCAGCGATATCTCCGCGACGGCAGAGGGCCTTGAAGCGTGAGCGGAGGAGTAGGAAGTCCTCTATCACCTGCAAGGCGTCGGCTTTCCCGTGCTGATGTTGCAGGCGTGCGCAGACGAGGTTGATTTCGTCGCTGAAGGGGAAGAGGTGCGCGGCGAAGGCATCCACGAACTCTTGGAAGGGGAGATTCATGAGACCTCTCCGGGCTATGAGGTCTTGGTTGACGGAGGTGGTTCTCAGGATGATAACCTCCTTCAACTCTGCTGGAGAGTACATCATGGAAGATGCGACGCGCTTCCATTTGATAAGGAGCTCGTCGAACTCTTCTTCATTGAGGGGTTTGAAGGTGACGTCGCCACCGAGGTCTTTGATGAGGTGGCGGACTCTTTTCTTGTCTGCGTCGGACGAGGAGAAGCGGTCGAAGATGGTTCCTCCGTCGTTCGAGAGAGGGTCGTTACCTTCAGGGTCGTTACCTTCAACATCGGAATCGTCGAACATGACCCACCTTGCCGTCGGAGATCAGCGTGCCGACCCCCGACGTGCCGACTGCATTCTACGCCGTGATCAAGTTGC